TTGCTTGAGACTCTAGAGAATGGCTGCCAATATGAACAGCTGCACCTTTGGTCTGACTTGGTATAAGGCAACTTCATAGGTTCATTAAGTAAACCATCTCATAAAACCAAGCGTAAAATATTAATATCAGGAGGCAATTTGCTGTAACTCTGAGCAAGACTGCAAATTAAGCATTCACAGTGGGTAAACATTGATGACCTCTCACCATGTATGTGTGTAGCTACTCGGAAAGAGTGTTTGTTGGTACTGTAAAGTGGTAAGAAGACTCTTATCGCTTCCCCGGATTTCTGATCAGGTGGGGAAAGGTGGTTAAGATTTTTCTCTCTGTTCAACACATTATCTAGTTATATGCAAATTATTCTATGGTAAGTTATGTGTGTGTGTGTGTTTCTTATGTGCCATCAAGTTGTTTCCAATGTATGACAACCCTCTGAATTAATGACCTCCAAAATGTACTGTCACTAACAACTTTACTCAGGTCTTGGTAATTGGTCTTCACAGTGAAAACCTTGCATATTGGCACTGTAAAGTCTTATATTTACAGTGCAATCCGAACCAATTATACCAAACATTTAAGATTGCATGGATAGTGCTACTGTACCTTATGATATGTAAGCTTTTTAAAATTCAGTCTTTTAATTAACATGCTAAATTACTGTCCTTATGTTTAATTCTCTGGGCCATACTTTCTGATGATGCACATAAAGTGTTGGGGAATCAAGCTATGTAATTCTTTGAGTGACCTAAACAACCCTTACGCCATTGGCCCACTCATGTGATATACTGTTGGACTGCATTGATTCAGACTACAGGGAGGGGAATAGCATTTTTGACCCTTCATTAAAACATTTCCCTGAAATAGGCTGTGCAATATGGACTTGAATGGGCCTTGGCCCAGAAATCTGTTTGGCAATCTGAGGATAAGGGGGACAGGATGTGAGTGCTGTAGGAAACAGCAGCAAGTAACAAAAAAAGCCAACAGGATCCTAGCAGCAGCCATCAGAGATCTGAGATCACAATTTGAATTTGTAATCAATCCAACAATAGTTTCAGACCTGTTTGAAAGTATACCTGCTCATATTCATAAATGGCAATTGGTAATGTGATAACATACCAGAGGTGATAATTTGTGAATATGGTCTTCTGGTGCATATGCATCTTTCTGTGAAAATCTAAGGGACCTTCTCAGACGATCTGTGTGTAATAAAGTCGGTCACCTAATGTTTAGTAAAGAAATGCTGGATTTATAGTCTATGCATTGGTGGTAGTGGCGTCATTGTTCACAGGTGGAAGCCAAGCCAACTGCATTCATTTTGTTCAAATCCAGAGGTCTCTCATTCATGACTGACAAGCAGCTTTGTCTTCATGGTCAGCTTTGTGCATATGAAGCTTAGTGGAGAATGGGCCAATTAACATCAGTTGTGGTTGCAACTGCATGATGGGAATATCCAGGGGTCATTTCATAGAAAAAGAGCTGCAGGCGCTCATTAGCATAACTTATTAGCATATGCCACACCCCCTGACATTACCGGAAGTGTGCACCAGCCCCTCTGACAGGCAGAAGCACCTGGGATCCATTCTTTCCCCCCTCTCCCTTCCCTTCACCTCCAAGTCGGGCGAAGGAAAAAGGGAGGGGGAGGATCTCAGGTGCTTCTGCCTGACAGAGGTGCTGGCGTGCCCACAGCCAGCCTAGGTGAATTATAGACTCATAGACTCATAGAGTGGAAAGGGACCTCCAGGGTCATCTAGTCCAACCCCCTGCACAATGCAGGAAATTCACCAATACCCCCCACACACCCCAGTGACCCCTGTTCCACGCCCAGAATATAATTTACAAAACCTCCAGGATCACTGGGGGCCAAACTGGCCTGGAGAAAAATTGCTTCCTGGCCCCAAAGTGGCGATCAGCATTTCCCTGGGCGTGTAAGAAAGGGCCACAAGAACTAGGCACTGATGCAACCCTTCCTGCTCTACCTCTCGTGATTTGCCTAAGTTCACACAATCAGCATTATGATCCTTTTAAAGTTGAAAGCATGATATAAATGCAAAGGACTATTTGTAAGATTATCTGTAAGATACAAGACCAGGACACATCTCACTTCTGGCAATCACTTGGAGAGACCCTATCACTCAGCTTCCATTGCCCCCCACACACCCCACACTGGAATATCAGGCCATAGCACATTGCAATAAAGCCCCTACAACTGTATACAGAAATACTGAGCTTCCCTACCATTTGCCACAACTAGCCCACCACACAACCAGGATCAAGACTCCTAAGTGGACCAACAGACAGGCATACACTCGTTTGAGAAACTGAGTATTACATTACAACACCTCTGGAACATTACAGATCAGTAGAGGCAGCACTGCACAGTGGTCAGAGTTGCAGATTGATGTGGGGAGACCCAGGTTTGTATTCTCACTCTGCTGGCTGAGTGACCCCGGGCCAAATCTCCCCTTCTCTACCTAACCTACCCCACAGGGTTGTTGTGAGGATGAAATGGAGACTCATGGGCAGGGTCCCCAGCTTCCCTGGCAGGAACACTATGTTAAGAAATCTCTCACAATTATGCAGCCATAGCAGGCAGGAGGAAAGGAGGCGAATACCTCCAGCGCCAAAGACTTGTAGAGGAAGAGTCAAACTTTGGGGACTCACCCGTGCACCAGAGAGCCAAGGCAGCAGGAGGCAAGAAGCCTGGGCGAGCTGGGCTCCTCCATGCCTGGCAGAAGATGAGGCGAGAGGTGGGCAAGCAGAAGAGGCACTCAGCCAGCCGCACAAGCTGCGTGCAAAGAAACTCCCGCCACTCCCGCGAAAACATAGGGTATATTCTGGGGGTTGGAGTTGAGGGGGTTTGAAGGGGACTTCACAAGACATCCCAAAACAGCTGAGCGGTGAGGAGCAGGCTTTTTTTGTGGGGAAAAGAAAGCAGGGATTTAAAGAGACTTGGAGTCCTTTTAAACCTCTGCTTTCTGCTCTATCCACGAACCACCACAAACTGCTTTAAAAGTTCATGGAAGTTCGTGACAGCAGACCCATCATGAACTTTGGTTTGCAAACCACAAACAGGGCAAAATTCGTGACAAACTTTGCTTCATGGTTCGGTCCCCATCCCTTATTGTGAAAGCAAGACCCCGGCTTTTGACTAACCACAGTTTGCAACCCTGAAGTTCATTGGAATGGAAGTAGTCTAGAACATTTCCCCTCTTGCTGGTTTGAGAATGGGTTCTGCATTAGTGGGCTGAGAATTTAGTAAACCCTTTGAAACTTTTTGTTTATGTGCTAATACTTCAGTTTTCCCTTTCCTATGGAGGCTTGAACAACATTGCGTTAATGTTGCATACAACGGCTATATAAGTGAAAATGTTTCTGTTCAGGCTGACTGTATTTCAATTATACCCCCTCCCAAGATTTCCAATTAAATGTCCCTGTGGCGGACATGGGGACAAAATATGCAGACTCAATTTTTTAAAAAAATTACAAAGATTATATTTTTGCATGCCTTTAAGGGTATTGCTGTGCTCTTGACTGACGTAACAGAATATATGAAGGCACCTTGCCCATGTTTATCTATGCCAGGTTGGAGAGGTTGCATCTGAGTTTTTGCCTCTCGATTTTTGCCTCCTTGAGTTTTTACCTCCTTCCCGCTCCCAGTCTACGGAATTGGGTTCATTTTCTGAATGATCACATCTGTTTATGTTCCACAGACACCTGCATATCTTGAGATGACAGCAGCTCCTTGAATGCTGTAATCAGTTATTTCTCAACAGAGGAATTGCCAATTTGGTAAATAAAGCTCATTATACAAAGAACATGGAAAATGTATTACACTTGCCTAAGGGGAAAATTGTCCAAGGCAGCCAGATAAAACAGCCTTGGCATCCTAATCCTTTACCATTTAGAGTTGCTGTGATACAAACTGTAGGTTTGGCATGGAAAGGTTGGGATGTGCTGCTGTCCAAGCAAATAAGCAGCAACTGCAAAGGGATCCCCAAGTACCCTTGGACCATGACTCTCTTAAGGAGAAGACAAAGCCCCAGGAGAAGATGGAAGCGTCTTTTTTTACTCTTCCTGTTAAGAGTACAACAGGAGTCACTGTGGGTTCCTACTATTCCCCTCCTGTCCCCTATATTTGCACTGGGGGGGGAAAGGGTTAAGAAGGAAAATACTAAGCACAATCTTCCACTTCAAGGATCATGAAAATTATATGGGAACAGGAGGAGGGCAACCTTTCACTATTGCTATGGCAAGAGTAAGCACTGTCCAGCAGTTGGGCAGGCTGCAGTCCTGGACACGTCACCCCGAGAAAAGAGATGACCTTTTTGTCCCCTCCTTATCCCAACACCTCTTTCATTCATTCTGGCCTTGCAAAAGTGTGGGGTGTGTGTAAGGCTTTCATCCCTTTCAACCTATTAGCTGATAGGAAAGCCACCAATCACTCAAAAAGGACACTGCTTCAGCCGAGGGGAGTGAAATTAATAAGAGCTTGCCTAGCCACGTCTGTGCGGGTGACAAGGGTGTGCTGCAGAAGTGTAGAATGTGTTGGATCCCGCCTCATGAAGCCGTTTGACGCCAGGGAACTCTGAATCACTCGCAGACAAGCAAAGGAGGGAAAGGAAGCAGCACCAGGAGACTGTTAGAGCAAGGGAAGGGCACAAAAGGCAGAGAGAGAGAGAGAGAGAGAGCGAGAGAGAGAGAGAGAGAGAGCGAGCGAGCACAGAGCAGGCAGAGCCTTTTGCCATTTGACTCAGCAACACTGGCTTTCTCTGCCAGCTAGAACTCTTGTGCCTTTCCAACTAAGCCAGAGCTACCCATCCGTCTCTTGGCATGAATCAAATGAGATTTCTAATTTAGAAACAGTGTCTGGAATGGTTTCTATTATCAACACTGACTGGAAGTCTTGATGATAGGGGCAGGGACAAGGAGGGAGAGGAGGAGGCGTCCGTGTTGAACTGTTGGATCAGAAAACATCTGACAGCATGTCCATCAAGCACTCTTTATTTTTCTTAGGGGGAGTGTTAAAGAGGAGGGAGAAGGAATGCTTCAGTTGGTCTCAACTCACTCAACAAATGAAAACACATGTGGAGAGCAGTATTGACCGTAACAAGTGGGGCTCTGGCATTTCCCCATGTTCCTCAGATGCCTTGCATTAAGAAACAAGGACGAAGGCAACATCTTGTGAAACACAGACTAGATAACAGTGAAAACAACAGTTAACAAGCTTTTTTTCCCTAATGGGGGCCTCCGTCTTGCATGCTGAAGGAGAATGTAATCTGTCCATGAGGATTCTTCTCTCAGTGAAATTTCTGTGAAAGAAGGATGAGGATCTTGATGCCCATTTTGCAGAACATTTCTTCCCCAACCTTGGGGCTCTTCCTCGAGTCCAAATCCATCAATTCAGACTGATACATGCAGGCATCTGTATATCGGAGACACGATGCTTTTCTGGACCCCACTGCACAGAAGGCACCCACTTGTACCAGCATGCATCCAAAAAGATGCTGAGTTTCTAAGAGCTTTGGTGGTCCCCTGCATTCTGTACTTCTGCTGGCAGCCGGGCTTTAATCAAAATGGACCAACAGTTCCTGAGAAAGAGAAATAAAGAGATGGGTTACTGTTTAGTCAGATACTGGGAAGACCACATAATGTGGAATGCAACGAGGTGCCTTGCACTAGGTCGTGGAGGAGCACACACCCTTTAAGTCCTGAAGTTCATCATAACCTGCTTTCTGCAAGTCCCAGTTAAGATTTAAAGACAAAATTTGACATGCTGAAAACATAAAGCCCAGTATTTCTTTTGTTTACTGAGTAACAGCAAAGAATGCATGTCCCTGCCCCGAGCTTACAATCTAAAATTCTACACAGGAGGATGCAACAGAGGAAGGGGAGGAAGGTGGAGACAAAGTTAACCAGTGGAAGAATATGCATTCATTGAAATTACACATAGTTAGACTGTGCTGTTACGGAGGCTGTGCTGTTATGGAGCTGCTCTCACCCATGTGGGGCATTATTTAGATTACATGACATGGAAACAAAGAGGCTCTTTAGCTGTTTTAAAGTAGGGTCTTAACCACTAAACCATGAAGCTGTGTGAAGAATGATCAGTCTCTTCAATTATCATTCTGTATAGATAGCAGTCTCCTGACTGAAGAGAAGTCAGAAACTCATTTATTCCAGGTCCTGGTGAGAACCTTGTATCCCAGCCAATGATCACTCAATGCTGTCTTCCAAGAACTTTATTTAAAATCACTCTAGTTATCCTTGGACAGAGTAAGTAAACAAGAATCACTATTATACAGAAAGTGCTAGAATATGTTAATGAGGTTATAAATAAAAAAGCATATGCCATCCCTCCTCCGACCTAGCTTGCATTTAAAATACAATTTCTAAAATTCTTACCAAAGCTTTTCAGAAAAGTCTCGCCAAAGATAAGGTATTATCACTGCAAACTTTTACGGCGTGGCTATCTTATACAGACATAATTATGTGAGCCTCACGTGACTTTATTAAAGCATCTAATTCTTTTTCTCTAGAGGTATGATGTTAGACATCTCTGAGCTTTCCAAAGAATAATGGTTACAAATTCTGTTCCGTTTGTTCTAGGATTTATTCTGGGCATAAAGCCATTGATTCATATGTTGTTCTTCTCAAGGCTGAAAACTGTAAGTTAGCTAGAACAGTGGGGAAAATGCACGTTTACAGATTTACGCAAAAACCTAAAACCAGATTCTCAGGCCTGCTGTGTCCTAAATGATGGTTTAAAGTTAAAATCTGCAATAGTGCCAAAGACTTCACCTAAAAAGCAAGTTTCAATATGGGATCTGAAGGAAAAGATGTAGCATCATGTGGGATTTTTGGAAAGGAATTTTATGTACATATTTATGGGAAAATGGGTGAGTTGTTTAACGAAGCAGGAGATGTTTCAGTGACCATGTGATGGATCTGGCAGTACTTGGTGGTCTAAATTCAGGTGGGGCTGGGGGTAACATACAAAATATAGTGTCATGTCCTCTGAACAACATGGAGTGAAGAGCTTCAGGTAGGGTAGGTAGATACGTCTCCATGTTATTGTCACAGAAAAACTTTTGATGCAGCAGGTTAGGCTGAGATAGAGAGGAAAAATGGCTGGCCCATGGTCACCCAGGGAGTTTCATGGCAAATGGGGATTTAAACCTGGGTCTCGCAGGTCTTATCCAACACGGTAACCTCTATACCACGATGCCTTTTATCACCACACTTGTCAACATCAGGTTATGACATTAAAAGAATTAGGGAAGGACATTTAAGGACTTGTCTACAGTTAGCATCTGGTCTGAGTTTTGCAGAAGAAACCACTACTACATACTCAGGTTGTAGGGACATTTTATACAGATGGTCAAAGCCAAAGAACATCAAATGCAAGTGTTTTATCACATTTATAAGCAAAGCCCTGTAAGATATCCAAAAGTTTATTATTATTATTATTTTTAAATCCCCAGAGGGATATTTTTATTTTTTCAATACACTACAAACTACAAAGAAAGTATGAAGGAAGGGGACTACATCTAGGGACAAAGAAAAGGTAACCACACTATACTAAAACCCCAAGAGGAGGAGATATTACTAACACTTAGTGAAAGTGTTAGTAATATAAGTGTTAATTAAAACAATATACTTGTAGAGTTCTTGTTTGTCTCAGCTTCAATGTTAACATTTTTTTTAGTTGTTATGAGAGAGCTTTCTGATCATCTTCTTATTCTTCGCTTCAAAAGGCAATTCTCAGAGTCCTCCTGCCTTTACTTCGGTTTTCTGTCTCTAAAGTCATATACCACTCTGGCTGCCTCTGCTCCGGTTTCCACAGCAGAGTCCTCCTCTGTTCCCGAGGTGGCAGAGTCACTTGATTTCGTTTCTTCCTCTTTGGAATCTTCCTCCGTTCCCAGCTGGTGTCGCAAAAATTCATTGGCTTTAAAGGTGGAATCAATATTTTCTCTTTTATCGTTGATCTTGAAGATGACACCCTCCGTGATCGCCCACCTATACGAAATTCCATTAGTTTGAAGAAAAGAAATTAAGTCCTTATAGTTTTTCCTCTTTTGATGAATTTTGAATGGAATGTCTTTTAAAGTTTTAATGATTAACTTTCCCATTTTCAGTGGAGTTGCTGATGTCGCCTTTAAAATAGCATCTCTGGTCTGTCTTCTTGAGAATCTGACCACCACAATTTCTCCAGGCAGGCTATTTTTTTAATGTAATTGGAGTAAGCCCTATAAGCCGTCTCCATCTCTTTTACCAGTTAAGCCTATTGCTGGAGCGATGGTCTCACTAAATATCTTCATCAGATCCTCCTTCTCTGCCCCAGGAACTCCCTGGAATCTGAGAATCATGTTGGCTTTTTCCATCTGCAGCTGTAACAAACGGTTTTCTTGTAGATTTTGCTTTGTTTCCACTTCTCACATTCTTTTCTATATTTTCTTGCTCGTGGTGTCCAACTCCTTAAGTTTCCCAGCTACCTGCTCCACCTTCTTCTCCGTTTCTTTCAGTTGGAGCTGCTGAGATGCAAAGTTTTTATTCATTACAGTCAGTTGCTGATTAACACCATCGAGTTGCTCCATCACTGGCTTGAGCATATCCGCTAGCATTTTCATGATGTCTGCTCCCTCTTCCGGTTTTGGGCTCTGGCTTCCAGGCGGTTTCGTTTTCAGCTTTCTTTGCACTGCAGCCATTTTTTACGATTTGTTTACAGTTTCTGACGCTTCCCTCTGACTCTAAAGATCGCTCCCATGCTGTCAGCAATCAAGTAAGCCTCTCAAAACACACTCGCTGTTTTTCCTCCCCCTTCCCCCTTCGTCTTGCTTCTCAGTCTTTTTGCATAAGAGGCGTCCCTCTTTGTGATCCGCTTTCCCACGGAGGGGGGGGGATTTGCTTTTTACAATCGTCCGCTTATTTTGAACTCACTTTCATTGTCGGTCAATTTCTCTGACCTCGCTTGCTTCAACGCTGTTCCGCTCGATCTCCAGCGCTTGTCCCAGTCAAACCAGCTTGTGCCTGAAGGCGACGCAGCGGCCGGACCATCAGGGCGGAGGGGAGCCTCAAATTCTCTGACTTTACGCCATTGAAGAGGCTACCCCTCAAAAGCCCTCTGGCCTGGAGCCTATCCCAACGGCTCCGTGGGGGTGCTACTTGAGGTAGCACCCCTCCAGCCTGCTGGTGTGCGGATCGTTCCCCCGCAGTCCTGGGAGAATGTCCGCCATCGCTGCTCCATAAACCGGAAAAAACGATATCCAAAAGTTTATTCATCTTTTAAAAATTGGGCTCTGGTGATGGCAGTAGTTTTCTTTTGGAAGAAAAGAGGTTGGTTTTAAATTTGTGATAACAATCTGGGTTCTTCATCTGTTTTTAGATGTTACATGAAGGAGTATCAACTGGCACATCTCAACAAATGAAATTCTTCTGACTGAAAACTATCTGCCCAGATCTGGTGATATGCTGAAGTTTATATGTCAGCTGAGTAAAAAGACTTCATCACAGAACCGTCAGATAAGAAATACCAGTCCCAAAAGATTACTGAAAATAGGGTTATCCTTGGGCTTCCCAATTTGCAGTTCATATCCCAAAAGGTTTCTGCGAATCAAAGCTGCATTTGATGGCACTAATCAATCAACTGAAGCTGCTCCCACTGGAGGCCTGACAAAATTACTTCTAAGAACAACATCCTGTGGATGGAAGGACTAATTGCTATTTTTCCCTTCTTCAAAAGAGACATCTGGCTCACCAAGGACTGGCACTGCTTGGAGGCTGAAAACACTTACTACTAGGCTCATTAGACACTGTGAAGTCCATCACACCCCAAACTATAGAGCTCCTTGGTACATGGATTTGACCCAATGTCCAAATTTGTACTGCACCAATCCTGAGAAGATCACATCAAAGATTTGCTTTTACTAATTCCAACAGCAGAAAAGACCTCATTCCTCAGTTGTAAATGAAAACTTACCCATGCCTAAATGAGGCTGTAGGAGAGCACAATATCACAAACAGGGCAATGACTGGAAAGCACTGGAAATCACCAGCCATTTGTGCAGCAGGTTCATTTGACTATTGGTGGGCTGCAATTCCCCCTTTGCCATTTCCTCTGTGCACAAGAGATTCAAGTGGACATCTTGTCAAACTGGTCACTGCTCCAATTTAAACCATTGTCACTTGCTACTATCATGTATGTCAAGCAGCAGGATACTTCATACAAACCCTCCAAACCAATAACAAACTACTGCTGACAGAACAGTATTATATATAAAAAGGCCCTGAGGCTGCATCTATTAAACATGCAGATGCATATAAGATTGCAAGGCCACCTGCCACACCAGGCACTGCAAATGCTTCCCAATCCTCTAATTTTTTCTCAGCGACTTGTGGAATGTGTTCATGCAATAAAGTTCAGGGTGGATTATTTTTTTTTAAAGAGGAACTGGTTTGCTCCCTGATACAAGTGGTAATATATTCTGTCAAAAGTGTCCGGGGCAGGAACTTTTGGTTCAAGGGGAGTGCATTGCAAAAAAAAGTTACAAAATACTTGAAAGAGCCTAAAACTCACCCAAGCCTTAGTAGG